CAGGATGTGAGTGTCTCACACGATTTTGATTTCTGAAGGGTAAAATGGTCATTTTGATTTTGGAATTTTGATTTGGCGATTGTACCCCTCTGGGCCAGGTTAAGGTGGAGGCGCGAGTAGAGAATGGTGATCCGAGGGATGTGATTTGCCAGATGGCCGAGCAGCTTGGTGCTGACCTGTTGGTCATGGGAAGCCATGGCTATGGTCTCATCAAAAGGTGGGTCCCATTTTATTACAGAACAAATAGGCAGGAATTTTTTTTTAAAAAAAAAGGATAATGCAAATTTACTAAAAAAACTTGTGCTATTTGCAGGGCATTCCTCGGGAGCGTGAGCAACCACTGTGCACAGAATGTGAAGTGTCCTGTGTTGATTGTGAAGAAGCCAAAAACAAATGCTGGCAGCAAATGACTTTGTTATCCTCTTCTGTTTTTTTTTGGCCTCTATATTTTTGTTTTGGTGGTGAATTTTTCTCTGTATTTTTTCTTTCGGTATGCGACTCGTGCTGTAACTATTTATATTTAAATTGAGCTAAGCAGTGAGAATTTTATGGTATAAGAGCCTACGGAATAAATCATCGACGTTTTCTTTGATCTCTTCATTATTGTCATTGGCAGAAATGTATCGAAGTGTGCAAAAAATAATTTGTGAAAAATATAAAAAGAAAAACTTAATATACATGTCATATTGTCATTGGCAGAAATGTATTAATTTATAATTAAAGGGAATAGGAATTAAAAATACGAAAAGAAAAATTAATACATATATCATATTTAATATACAAATTTATAAATAAACCACAATCCTAGGCATGTATTTATAAAAAAATTCAAACACTATTTAAACATAGAAACACATCCAAAATTAACCTCAAAATCAACAATTGTATATTTTTTAGGCGTGTTTATAAATGAATTTTGAGTGTGTGTAATGATGAGTTTTAGGTATGTTTATAAAGTGTTTTGGGTGTTGGATTTTTTTTATAATTTCAGCCCCATTTTGTTTGTTTTAGTAAAACTCCCTATTTAATACATATGTCAATTGGCAGCAATAGGGAAACCTATTTAAGATATTTATGAAAAGTAATTACAAGGGAATGAAAGGAATGTGGGAAAGCCGATTTAAGAAAAGTAGTTACAAGAGAAAGGAGGGATTTCTTTGCAAAAAAGGAGGCTCACGCAAAATAAAAAGAGAATACTTTGACTTTCTAGCAAAGCCGTGTAGTAATATGTATGAAAATATAAAATATTCCAATCCCGAAAACAACAGGAAACCACAACCCCTATAAATATTTGGGAAGACTCAGTCCTGCACATACCATCCCAATTGCTTCTCAGTTCACTTCCATTATTCAATCTCCGCAATGGCTTTCACCACGAGAAAAGTTTTTCAAGTAGGCGATGAGGTAGAAGTGTGCAGCAAGCAAGACGGGTTTCACGGTTCGTATTATGAAGGAATTGTAACTGAAAACTTGGGGGACAAGTATAAGGTGAAGTACAAGAACCTGGTGGAGGAGGATGATATGTCCACCGCTCTGGAAGAGCTAGCGGAGGTGGACGAGGTCCGGCCTGTGTGTCCTAAAGTTTGGCCTGACTTTTTTCCCGGCGAGAGGGTTGATGCGTTCGCCAACGACGGTTGGTGGGCAGGCATCATTACTAGGAAGAGTGGAGACGACTGGTTTGTCTACTTTCCAAGCACTTTTGAGCATATAGCTTACCCTATGGGTTTCTTGCAATGGACGGGCCTTCTCTTGCGAGGGAAAGCCGCTGTCTTGCCAGAAGAGACTGAGTATTGTGATGGGAGGATCATCATCGACATCTGTTAAAGCTCGACTTGTTTAATTACTTCATGTGAAAACGTTTTTGGTGGTTTTTTTTTTGTTTGGATTTCTTGGTAATTTGTGTTGTGATTGGTTGGATGATTTCATTAATATTTGATGAATGCATCTCTCATTGTTTTTTAGTCTTTTTCATTGATTAATTTTTGTTTATTTATTATCTTCTAACAAACCTAAACCCTACATTGGTGTCCAGTTTCAGCAATCTTCTCCCAAGATTGTAGACTTCACCGAGGCCAACAACGCTGTCATCAAGAACCATCACTTTTTCTTTTCTTTTTTCCTTCACTGCAATTTGAACTGCAGCCAATTCATGGGTTAATAATAATTTAATTTAAAATTAAGGAAGAGATAATGAGTTTAGTTGTGTCCTATAACATGTTCTCATTTTGTTTGTTTGTTTTTTTATTTTATAAATTTAAATTTTAATATAAAAATGTTATTAATTTAATACATTATCCTTAATTAATGAAAATATTTATTTCTTAATATCTTATTTAATTGAGGGTATTTTTTGGTATTTAAAATGCCTTGCCATTTTTTTTCCCTCTGCTAGAAATAGCTTTGGTTTTCAGTAGTAATGTCTGAGCACTCAAGTTGATGAATTATAGAGAATCCTGACATGAGACAAAAACCAATTCACACAAATTAAAGTGTATGACACCAGGGCCTATTTGATAACCTTTTCATTTTTCAAAAAACTAAAAACTTAAACTTGTTTAGTAACTAATTTTATTTTTCAAAACAACTGAAAAGTGAAAAGTGAACAAAAGTTGTTTGGTAATCGATTTTAGTTTTCAATTTTATGTGGAACTTGGAAATGGAATTTTTTTTTTCTTTTTGTGTCAAATTGTGAATTTCAGATCATAAAATAAAAATGCATGTTACAAAGAGTTCGTTGTATTTTTGGGTGAATTTTGAATCTGGAGGTGCCGATGTTTGGGTATGGGTCTGGGTCCAAGTCAAGAAGTCACAAATAGCAAGTTTTAGTAACTGGAGTGTATTTCATGTGTGTTGATATAAAATTAATGAATGAAAAGAGAGAGTAGAGAAAAAAAAAACTGAAAAATTGAAAACACTTCCAAGTTGTTTTAAAACATAAGGGTGATTTTGAAAACTAAATTAACTTTTTTTAAAGCTGAAAATGAAATATGTTATCAAACATATGTTTTCAATTAATATTTACAATTGGGATAAATAAATTGAATTTAGTAAGTAAATAGGAAACCCCAAATCCTAAACAGAATAGGAAAGCCAAAATCCCAAACCGATTAGGAAATCCAACCCAACCTCTATATATTGCGACCTTCACACACACTCTCCTCATACCATTTCACAAGAGCAACTCTCATCTCATTCTCCAAAATGGGTTTCACTAGAGCAAAGGCTTTTAAAGAAGGCAAGAGGGTCGAAGTGTGCAGCAGAGAAGACGGGTTTCAGGGCTCCTACTATGGAGCAACCATACTGCAAAACATGGGGGACAACAAGTACAAGGTGAAGTACAGCCGCCTGGTATGCGAGGACGACCACTCCATACCTCTGGAAGAGGTGGTCGAGGGGGATGAGATACGGCCTCTGCCTCCTCTGCCTCCGCCCAAGAAAACGAAAGCCGGGTTCGCTGACGGGGACAGGGTTGATGCGTTCGACAACGACGGCTGGTGGTCTGGAATCATTACTGGGAAGGTCGGGTGCTACTTTGGCGTCTACTTTGAGACTGGGCATCATATTGGTTACCCTGAGAGAATGCTGAGGCATCACATGGATTGGCGCAATGGAGAATGGTTCTTTTACCACTAGCTGCTGCTGCTGCTTCATGAATTTGATTAGAAACTAAATCCACGTTTTGTTATGATTTCTTGTTGTCTAGGGTTTATGGGTAATTTGTGAATTTAGAAACTAAATTCTCGTTGAATGTAATTTCATCAACTCGGTGACTTGTCATATATTTGAAACTTGGTAAATATATATGATGTTGGTAAAAACAAATCACATTTGAAGCGAACAAGTAATTAGCGTGGGAGGGAGTGTTCAGCAATCTTCTCCCAAGATTGTTGACTTCTGTCCTTGTTACATTTGTACAATGCAAACCGAGTTATGGTGAAAGTGAGGCCAACCAGGCCGTCATCCAGAGCCATCGCTCTCTCTTTTGCTTTTTCCTTCTCTTCATCTGTCAACTCCCCATAGAGGAGGCTAAAGTGGGGCATACAGGCTGCACTTCAAAATTCAATTAATCCATACAATAATCAGGGTTATTAATAATTAATCTCCATTGATGTCGTCTAAATTAGTGCTCGCCAAACCCATTACAAGAATTTGATTCTATGAAATGGGTAATCTAAACAAAATCCTTTGGTTGTTTGTTCATGGCATATAATTATCAAATTCAATTAGCTTACAGTTTAGGGTTAGTATTGAGTAATAACATTTTTTTAAATACAAGCGATATTAGGGAAAGGGGAATCGAACCTAGGACCAGATGTGCATGGGTAAATACTCTTTAACTTTAGTAGATCAATATCTATCAATAGGAAAAAAAAAAAACAACCCTAGATTCTGAAGAAAAACTCACTGTCAACAAGTATATATAATACGAGTGTATTAATATATTGACCTCTTACTTACCCAATTGGTCGAAATGGTCAGTGAAATTTCCTGTTGGATAAGTTACCTGAGAAATTAAACAGAAAATAACTAGATATGTTCGCATAAATTTTTTTAAATTTTAAATTAAACATGTAAATTCAATTTGCACGAAAATATATTTAGTTTTTAAAAAAATACCTCATCCGGATGAATGAAGAGGTAAACATTTTGGTAATAGAATGGACCGGGGAGCACGTCCCCAACTGTACATGCGAAGCAAGAGCTTTTCCCACAAGCCTCTTTGAAATTTCTGATGACGTCGTCTTCCCTGGAGCGGATGGACCCCAGAACGGGGAAGTGGGGCGTGATCTCGGGCCCACCGAATTCGTCGCGGAGGCCTTCCATCACCTTCTTGATCCTGTTCGAGACGTGATCCGGTATGACGGCCCACGCCGCATACGTCTGCACCTTCTGCCCAACTGGGTTTGGTATTGAAGAAATTGTTATGGTTGGTTCTGAGTTTTCCATGAGAAAATGGAATGAGTGAATGGAGAAAATTGATGAAAAGGAGCTTTGACAACTATTTGAACCCCCAACAATTTTCTTTCAATACCAATAATATTTTTTATCCCCATTTTACCCCTGAACCCCTTGCTTATAGGGGAGATGTTTGAAATGGTCCGTTTTAATGAGTCATTAAGGGCATGTTGGGTATTTAACTTGAATCCTACTTTTTAAACTCAAAAACAGAATTTGAGTTCAAAATAAAGAAAACTTGTTTGGTAACCCTATTTTTAAAAATTCAAACTCAAGAATAACTAAAAAAAAACCCAATTATTAAAAACAAAAAATAACGATTTTTTCAGTTTTTTTTCCTAACAACACATAAGTTCTCAAATTTTTAAGATTTGAAAACAGTTTTCAAGTTGCATACCAAACAGGTTTTTGAATCTTAAAAATAGATTTAAGAACTCCTTGTTTTTAAGAAAAATCAAAATTTTTGAGTTCCCTATTTGAATAAGATACCAAACTTGAACCAAGTTTATCTCCACTAATGTAGACAGAGATTCGAACCCCAATGAATATTGGGTAAACTCCTCTCCTCCAATAACTTGTACTCGAAGAAAATAAAAATAAAAATCCCACGTAACTTTATTACAATCTCAAGACAAATGTGCCAAAAGAAGGGTGAGATAAAAAAATGGAACATGTATTTTTATAAAGCCGAATAAAATCTTCGAACATAAGGGCAATTTCATATGGAAAATGATGAAAGAGTTAGGCAAAGAGGGACATATTGAACATCAAAATCTTGGAGGATTCATTCATGAGTAGCATAAAAGTGGAAAAGCATCCCCGACCCAAGTTTTTGATTTGAGTAGCATAAAACAAAAGTGTACTTCCAACTTCAGTGGTAAATGCTTTTTAGCTGCAACACAAATTAAAGCAAATTAAATAGTTTTGGTTAATCTCAAGATCGTTAATCTTAATTCATTCATGGTTAATCACATTTATTGATATATAGATGTTCACCTAATTAGATTCGTCTAATTTCTATTGGAAATGTGAGTAAATATATATTACAACCAGTAAGTTTATTATACATTGTTGGTTCATTATCTCACAACTTAAATTTGTGAGATTAATGATTGTATGATCGGCCAATTATAACACCTTAAATTCTTAAAATTAGTGGTTTGTACCAATTTAAGAATTTAAGGTGTTATAACACATTGTTGGTCCATTCTCTCACATTCTCTCTCCTCATCACTTATCAAATGTGAGAAAGATAGAAAGAAAAGGACAATGCAACGGAGATATCACTGTTTTATTATTCCTTATCAATCATGCTCTGTTATGCGTGATAATTTTTTCACTTGACATAGCGTGATTAGTTGAAAATAGCAAAACAATGGTATCTTTGTTTCATAAAAGTTTTTATGCTCCCAAGACGTCCATTATTTTCTCCACTCTCTTTACAACAACGTGGTCCGGTGGGATGGCCCCTACACCGCAAACCTGTGCAATCTCAGGTCGTCTATGTTATCACTAGTACTACAACGTACGTAATAGTTTCTTGGATTTGCCATGATATGACATTAACTTCAATAATTTGTGCACCATGCTCTTTGGATTCATTGAAAAGAATAAAGAAAGCAAACAGGAGTGGTGGGCCCAACAGATTGCGTTTGGAAGGAGTTTGATGGGGCGGAGGGTTGAAGGGGATGGACAGGTGTCGCATCCTGAGAGTAGCCTATGTTTGAGGGCTTATTCTTTGTGCTTCCTTTGCGGGGTGCAGAAGTGTCACTTAGCAGTCAGACTAGCTAGGTATATAATAGGTATGTGTCGAAATTTTACTGCGCATTGAAGCTTGAGAATTATAAATATATATATATTTTTTAATTTTGGATTTTTCGGTTCTTTCTATATATATTTCAGATGAAGCTGTTTGGATAGTCAATTTGAATTCTGATTAGAAGATATCTTTCCATCTCGAGCTCCTTCTTTTCCTCACCAGTTCACTTCCAATCATATATTATTTCTAAATATCTCTCTCACACCAGCTATCAACATTTCTTCTTGTGGCAGTGGCAGTGGCAGTGGAAGTTACATCAATTGCATCGACAATTGCCAAGTCTTTCGAGTACTAGCAATCAACTTTTCCTTCTCTTTCTTTTTTGTCATCTGTCTAAATCTTATACTATATTTGCTTGATGATTTTTTTTTTAAAATTTCCTTTTATGTTCTCTACTATAAATGTAGTTTTGTTCATGCCATGAAAATGCAGATATTAAAGCCAAGGTTTCCACCATGAAGATGATGAATTCGCACCGGATCAAGTCTTGCTCAAGAGTTCTCTGGCGCCCCATTTGTTTTCTCCTCATTCTGGTACTTTTTCTTCAACATATTTTTCTAGCTTGTAGAAGCAAACTTCTCTCCTCATCCCACTTCTCTGTTGTGTATATTTGGCAGGGACTTTCATGCTTTATGATCTCAATGTTGTTTAAGATGACGATAAAAATTGAACGACGTATGCTCCTGGAATCAAAACAAGCACTCAAAAAATTATTATCAGGCATTGACACCACTGCAAAGTTGCTAAGTCCATTAAATCCATCAGTAGTAAATCTGGCAAGATCTCTCAGTTCCTCACTTAATGGAACTGAGCTCAATTTCGCTACCGTCCAAACAAGGGTTAGTGTATATTCTCAGACAGTTTAGCTGTGTTTAATTAGTAATGTTTGCTAAATAAAACATTCTCGTAATCTACGAACTGGTTTCGTGTTTTGTTGTCCAGGTTGCACCAACGTTGTTTCTAGCACTTTCAATGATCCCACATATCTCACAGGTTTCTTATATTGGATTAGATGGCCTTTTATTCTCACTTTACAACCATGAGGATCAAACTTTTGCAGTATTCTCCAACACTTCATTTTCTTCAAATTGGTACACTCAACCAGTAAATAGGGACACTGGGAAGTTATATGGCGCAGCAGTTGCTTCAGATTCTTTCGTCACAGTTAAGTCCACTTGGTTCCAACAAGCCTTGAATAGCACAAGTGGTTATTCTTGGCTGGGAAGAGGATGGGACAAGGCTCAACATAGCATGTTTTTAAGTACTGTGCCTATGGATGGCAGAGGGGTGATTTCCTTCGGTATTCCAGCAAAAGTTGTCGTCGATCATTTCACCGCTTTAGACTTCCATGGGGGTTACTTTCACTTGGCTACATCAAATGGGGATGTGATTGTGCAAACAAAGCTCCCAAAAACCCAATTTGAAATAAGCAACAACACGGTTTCGGTCCAAATGGTGAGGCCAAATAGTAATGCCACTGGTGATCTTGGTAAATTCTCATGTAATCATGATGATGATGACAAGTTGGAACCATATATTCATTCATGGAAAATGAAGCGTATCAAGTACATGACTTATTGCTCCACCCTCGAGATCATCGGAGTTAAATCGGTATGTGAAACCATAGTTTTTGCACCAATTTAGTTTGATCTGACTTGCCTTACAAGTTAACTGCCATTGTATCACTTCCCTTGATTTATATACATATATATGTTTCTTTTTTCTTCTTTTCTACAGGTATATGTATTGACTTGTCCCGCCAATGGTCTTGTAAACCTTAATCACAAATCAGTTGTGTTGCTTGGCCTTTTGGTATTTTTAATTCTTGCATCGGTTTGCATATTCATACTCTTAATAATCAGAGCTGCAAGAAGAGAAATGATCTTATGTGCACGGATCATGAAACAAGAAGGCGCAACTCGTCAAGCAGAGCGCAAGAGTATGAACAAAACTAAAGCCTTCAGTAGAGCAAACCATGATGTGAGGACTTCTTTGGCAGCCATCACTGGTTTGATAGAGTTGTGTCACCAAGATGCCAATCCCGACTCTGAGTTAGCAGCCAATTTGGCACAGATGCATACTTGTACAAAGGACCTCCTGGTCATATTGAATTCTGTTCTTGATATAAGCAAAATTGAAGCTGGGAAAGCGCAGCTTGAAGTAGAAGAATTCAACTTGGCTCAGCTCCTTGAGGATGTAGTTGATATGTTCTACCCTATTGCTATAAAGAAAGGAGTCGATATCGTGCTCGATCCTTGTGATGACTCGATTGCCAAAACATGTAATGTCAGAGGCGACAGAGGGAAACTTAAACAGATAATGTGCAACTTGCTTAGCAATGCAGTGAAGTTTACATCTGAAGGTCATATCACAGTTCGTGCCATGGTTCCGAAATCAAGTTATGAGAATGAAATCATCGCTTCCAATCATAATCGTGTGTTGAAGTGTTTGTCATGGTTGTTTTACAAGGGGAAAGGAGCTTTCAGTGATTTGGATGCCATTCATACAGCACAAAAGGATCCCAACAGTACAAAGTTTGTCATTGAGGTGGATGATACAGGCGAGGGAATTCCAAAAGACAAGCGAGAATTTGTTTTCGAAAACTTTGTTCAGGTGACAGACAGGGCTACTGGAAAAGAAGGCTCTGGTTTGGGACTTGGTGTTGTTGAATCTTTGGTAAGTAATTCAGAATGAGTTTAACATACTAATACATTATATATATGTATATATATATTAATTTAGTTATTGATCACAATTCAATTTCTGGTCTAGGTACGCCTAATGGGTGGAGAGATAAAAATTCTTGATAAAGAGCTGGGTGAGAGAGGTACTTGCTTCAGCTTTGATGTTTCTCTTCTGACATGTAAACCAAATTCTGGTGACATTGAAGAAGAATTTTCCAATGATCGCTCTGCCAACGGATTTCAACCTTTTGGTATACAACTTTTGGCGCATTCACCAAAACCAGAGGGATCTCATGTGGTGCTCTTTATAGAAGGCGACGAACGGAGAAAGATTTTGGTGAAGTATATCAGTAGATTGAACATAAGAGTTTCATATGTAAAGCTTGCAAAAAATCTTCTTCCACAACTTGAGAAGATAAAGTGCAAGTTAGAAATTTCCTATTTCAATCATTCGGAAAAGTCCCAGCTGGGTTTTCTTGACCAACTAAGCCCCTCCGCATCCAACAACTCTGAGTCAAGAGCAAGTGACGGGTCTCAAAGCATCAAGGAAGTAGATGACCAAATCTTGCAACCCGATAAAAAGACCGACTCCGGAAACTCCGCAACTGCAGGTATTGTACTTATTGTGATTGACACAAATGCTGGTGTTTTCTCTGAGTTGTATGCAACTGTGGCTAGCTTTAGGAAAGACATACACAAGTCAAGATGCAAGGTTGTCTGGCTAGATAACTCAATAACGCGTAACACGCATCCGATGCAACTAGAAGGACAGAAGCTAGCTCCTCCACTCGATTTTATTATCTACAAACCATTTCACGGGTCGCGCTTATATGAAGTATTAGGACTAATACCTGAACTTAAAGGATGCAACTTACCAAAGTTAGAAAAGAGAGAAGTAGCTCAAGAAATGCAGAAAATGGATCCCAAACTTGCAGGAAATGAAGTAGGAACATCTTCATCACCTCACGACGACGACTCACTGCAACAAGTGGTCGTACATAAATGTGTTGATAAAAGAAGTGATCAGGAGCTCTTGTATGGAAAGAAAGTTTTACTTGTTGAAGATTCAGCAGCAATTCGCATGGTCATTAGTACTTATCTTAAAAAACTTGGAGCAGTTGTGGAAATTTGCCATGATGGCAAAGAGGCATTTGATCAAATTTGTAGAGCTCTAAGGGATCATAGCAAGGAGGCTCATTCTAAATCTACTCCCTACGACTATATTTTCATGGATTGCGAGGTAATGTGATCAAAACCATTTCTTCATTATTAAGGTTTTTTTTTTTTTTTCTTCTGAAAAAGGAAGACGGATTTATATGTGTCTTTTGTTTGTTATTTTTGGTTTTCCACAGATGCCAATAATGAACGGATTTGAAGCAACAAGGCTAATAAGGATGGAGGAAAAACAATACGGGATCCGTATTCCGATTATAGCATTGACAGCCCATGCAATCAATGAGGTGGTTAACAGGATGATTGAAGCAGGGATGGATGTCCATCTAACCAAACCATTGCAAATAGACATGTTGCTGGAAGTCATCAAATCGATTGAGAACAAATAAAATGACAAATTCGAAGTAGTTTTGTAGATGCAAGAGATTATGTTAAGTTGGTTTTTTAAATTTAGAAGAGAATAAAATTTAAAGTTTCTCCAATTCTTAATAGTTGACGGAGTTTTCAGTATGAAGGTGTTTAGGGGTTCATTATCATTAGAAACTCCATAAAATTTCAAATTCAAACAGAATCATCCGTTTAAAATCGTAACGAGTTGTTATTTTTTGAGAACCTTTCCTATTGAAAGGTTAGGAAATGGGTGATAATATACTAAACTCACACGCACTACACGGATGCTAAAATTTGAATCCAGGACCTCGCCTGAGAAATCATCCGTTTAATATTATAAACAGTTGTTATTCAAGAAAATGAAATCACATATCAAATTGAAAATTGAAACTTCAGAGTTGAGATGTCTGAGTCACAAATTTGAGTTGAATGGAAGATCATCCTACTTAATTCATCAAAAACCTATGGTGCGGCACAAAGTTTTGCTTTTCTATGGTGCGGCATCTTTCTGAATAAATAAAGACCCACCTCCGGTCCTTGTGTTGAGGTCAGCTCAAAAACCTACATGAAACACAAGCACATGCAACAAGTAAGCAACAATTTATGATACATCCGAAATAATAATGGAGGAATAGGTTCACCAAACTCCATTGAAATCAACTGAGGAGAGATTAACAGCTTGATGAGTATCAGCTGTGCTTTCTGTGGACATACCCCCGGTACTACCACTATTTCCCGGCTCTGACTTCTAAATTCTAATATTGGTATAGCCGTGCGGCTATAGAGTATAGCCGTGCGGCTATACCTGTAAAAACAGAGGTTGCATTTCCATTCTTGGACTTGTTGCTCTGACTCCTAACAGTTGCACATACTGAAGATACCATCTCATTAATGGAGCTCAAAAATCCACCAGACATGAAGATGGGATAGAGTCAACCTTCTGAATAGACCTAAATCACAAATATCACCTGTTTCATTGGACATGCTACTATGGCAATCCACACGTAGGCTATGGTCAAAATTCCAATTAGAGCAGCGATAAGGCAAGAGACAATAAAAAGGCGATCAGTTGGATTCTTGTTGTTCCAATTGGAGAAAAAAATATCAATGTCCCCATCATAATCCATCCTCAATGACTACTTGTTTGATCTACATTCGCATGAGCATCAAACTGCCCAATCCCAGTTTAATTAGGCTCCAACTCATATATCCTCCAATATGGTTTCATCATTCAATAACATTATCAAAAGCCTTAAACTCATTTCACAACCCAACTGATCATCCTACTTAATTCATCATGTGCAACAGAGAGTCGAACAATGCTTTTTATAGGTGCTACTTACTGTAACCGCTTCAACCTTAAAAAAACTGAAAACGTTTCATAAGTAAAACAAATATCATTCCAAATACAAAGCACTTGCTGCCATGATTAGTTTCATATCAAAATTCAGATGTAAAATCCAGATACAAAATACATGTAAACGTGAAGGAAATACAAAGTCCACCACAGTTCTATCATAATTGAGTGATATTTTAAATTAAATGACAGTCCTGTGGAAAAACAAAACAGCCCCATCTTTGTGAATCTGATATTGGAAGAGAATACTTTTAATTGACAGGTACAATTGGTTTTATACAAGAGTGTCTTTGTGTACAAGGAAACAAGTCCTCTAATCTAGGAAACTTACTAGGAAAGTAAATCCTAATTACAACAGTATTGATATTAATTGATATTATACAAACTTATTTCCTAACACTCCCCCTCAAGTTGAAGAGTGGATATCAAGAACTCTCAACTTGCAAACAAGATTGTTGAATTCTTCTCGTCCCAACGCCTTAGTAAGAATATCGGCTAACTGAGAGGACGAACTCACATGTTGTGTGGCAATCAAACCTTCCTGAATCTTATCTCGAATAAAATGGCAATCCATCTCAATATGTCTTGTTCTCTCATGAAATACTGGATTGGCAGCAATATGTAAAGCTGCCTTGTTGTCACAATACAACAAAGCAGATTGGCGATGAAGGATGCGCAAATCCTTGAGGAGGGATCAAAGCCAAGAGAACTCACAACATGCTGCCACCATAGATCTATATTCAGCTTCTGCTGATGATAAAGATACAGTTTTCTGTCGCTTCGATTTCCATGAAATTAAAGAAGATCCCAGAAACACACAATAGCCTATAGTAGACCTTCTAGTATTAGGACAACCTGCCCAATCAGAATCACAGAAGGCACGCAAAGTCAAGTCATTCTGAGAAGACAATAATATGCCTTGACCTGGCGATTTTTTCAAATAACTAAGAATGCGGAGTGTGGCCTCCATGTGAGGTTTACGTGGGGCATGCATAAACCTACTTAAGATATGAACAGAGTAAGTAATATCTGGCCTTGTAATGGTCAAATAAATTAAGCTACCAATGAGTCTTCTATAATGAGCTGGATCTTTAAGTAATTCACCCTTATCCGAGAGCTTAAGACCTTTTTCCATAGGAAAATCAACAGGTGCGGCACCTAGGAATTTTGCATCCTTCAAAATTTCCAATGCATACTTGCATTGAGATAAGAAAATGCCATGTTTTGATCTTGATACCTCAATCCCCAAAAAGTATTTCAAATCTCCAAGATCTTTAATACGAAAATGACGGTGTAAAAAAGCCTTGAGTGCCGAGATAGCTATAGGGTCATTACCCGTGATAACAATGTCATCAACATAAATCAATAATGTTGTGAAAGAGTGCCCCTTATGGCGTGTAAATAATGAATAATCAGCTTTAGACTGAATGTAACCAGTCGAACAAATGGCTTGAGAAAACTTAGCAAACCATTGACGAGAAGCTTGCTTTAAACCATAAAGAGATTTATGAAGGCGACATACCAAGTTCTCCCCCTGTCGCCGCAGACCAGGTGGAGGGAGCATGTAGATTTCCTCATGGAGATCACCATGAAAAAAAGCATTGTTGACATCAAGCTGATGAATGGGCCAATTTACGGGCGGCAACAAGAGCAAGAAGGTAGCGGACAATGGGCATTTTGGCAGTTGGAGAAAAAGTATCATAATAATCAACACCTTCCAGTTGAGTAAAACCTTTAGCAACCAACAGGGCTTTATATCGCTCAACAGAGCCATCAGATTTAAGCTTTATTTTATACACCCACTGACAACCAATGGGCTTCTTTCCAGTAGGTAACGGAGTAAGACTCCAAGTGTGGTTATCGGACAAGGCTTGCAATTTAGACTGCATGGCCTCTTGCCAATGAGAGTAGGGAGCAGCTTCCTTATAAGAATTAGGTTCAACAATATTACTGACTTTGGCAATGAAAGCAAGGTGAGCCGAGGAATAAGGATGATATGAGAGATAATTGCAAAGCGGAAAACGTGTACCTTTTGTAGGACCCAGCAGTAAAGAAGACGAGTGATCAGGGATGGGTAACATGACCTGATTGCAGATGTAGTCACGTAAGTGAACGGAAGGCACAGAGATGCGTTCAGATTGGCAGAGAGGTGGTGGTTCAGGTGTAGGTGCATGTGGACTGGTGGCTGGTGAACCGGGGGCGTGCTCAGCTGGTGGGGACAAGAGCAAAGGGCAACCAGGCTCATCAGGCTCGGTGGTGGTGGCAGGTGGGGACGAAGGCATTGGATGTGGACTGGTGGGGATCGACTCAGGTAAAGAAGCGGCTGGAGAAGAAAAAATTCGGTCCACATCAGAAAGGAAAGGAGGTGCCGGAAAAGAAGAGGGAACCAAAAATGAAAAGGGGGACGGAAAAGTGTAATAAGGAAAAATATTTTCATGGAATTTAACATCACAACTTGTGAAAATTTTGTAAGACTCAAGATCATAAAGTTTGAAGGCTTTTTGACCAAGGGAATAACCAAGGAAAACATAGGTAATAGCACGAGGAGCAAATTTATGTGTCACATAAACATTAGTGGCATATGCAAGACAACCAAAAATACGGAGGTGAGAGAAAGACGGTTTTTTGAAATAAAGACGTTCAAAATGGGTGTTAAAAGAAAGAAGAGGAGTAGGAAAACGGTTGATGACATGAACTGCAGTTAAAACACATTTCCCCCAAAATTTGGAAGGAAGATTGGCCTGAAGTTTTAAAGCACGAGCCGCTTCAAGGATGTGGCGATGCTTACGTTCTACGACCCCATTTTGTTAAGGTGTATAGACGCAAGAGTGTTGAAAAATGACGCCCTGTTCATGACAGAAAGTCTGAAAAGAAAGAAATTCCCCTCCATTGTCGGCACGAAGTTGTTTAATTTGGGAATCAAATTGAGTGCCAACAAAAGAAAAAAAGGTTTTTAAAAGATGTTGAGTCTCATGTTTATGGCGCATTAAAAATACCCAAGTAAAGCGAGAATAATCATAAACTATTGTAAGAAAATAACGGGCACCAGAAATTGACGAATGCTTATAAGGGCCCCAAATATCACAATGAATTAAATCAAATGGTTTGATAGAGGAAATTGAAATTGTTCCAAAAGGGAGACGACTCTGCTTTGCCAAGGGACAAACATGACAAGCGTTATTAGAGACAAAAGGGAAATCTATTAAATGCTTAGACATAAAATTAATCTGGAGGAAGAAACATGGCCAAGACGATGATGCCAAAGGTCGGTAGTGGTGACAGTGTGATTGTAAGATGGACGGGGAGAAGGAGATTGGTGGGTTGTGTTGGGAGGTTTCTCCGCCAATAATGCCACCAAATAATAAAGGCTGCCATGTTGCTTACCCAAACCAATCATCTTCCTCGTAGCAAGGTCCTGAAAAATGCACCAATATGGGGAAAAAAGTCACTGAACAATTCAAATTTTTTGTAAGCCTACTCACAGACATCAAATCTACTGTGAAAGTAGGGACACATAGCACATCATCAAAGTATAAGTAGAATTGAGAGGGAATGATCTTGTTGCAGTAATTGAAGTCTTCTCCCCACTAGGCATACGAACCGGTTGCATAGAATGATCAATATTACGATGAACTAACAATT